ACCCATGTATGACCAGGCCCGTAATTACGAGTCCAAACCGGGGCACCCACAAGTAGTTGCCTAGGTGCCCTGGGATGTGAGACAGAAGGAGGCAGTCTGTCCGGATGCAACCGGTCAAGCTTGGTAGTCAGTTTGCGCCCCCAATGAAGTTCAGCTGGGCTTCTCCCTGTAGAAGTGGACGGTGTGGTGCGATAAGAAAGGAGGAAGTCAGCCAACCTGTGATGCCAGTCCCCGTAGGTGAGCCTCTTCAAGGCGTCCTTGGTGATGCGAACCATGCGTTCAGCCATACCGTTGGTGGACAGGTGGAAGGGTGCAGAAGTGGCATGACGAATCATGTTAGCCTGCAAGAAAGCTTGGAATTCGGAGGAAGTGAATTGAGGGCCGTTGTCAGACACAATGACGTCTGGGAGCCCGTGTGCAGCAAAAATCCCCCTTAGTACCTGAATAGTCTTTGCAGTAGTGGTGGAAGAGACAGGTACAACCTCAAGCCATTTTGAATGGCTGTCAACGAGGACCAAGAAGAATTGACCCTGAAAGGGCCCAGCGTAGTCAATGTGCACCCTAGACCATGGAGACTGTGTTTCCTCCCATCTATGCACAGGAGCTTGGGGCATTTCAGGGCGTGAGCGTTGACAAAGGTGGCAAGCATGCACCTTAGCTTCTATGTCTTTGTCTACACCTGGCCACCACAAGTGGCTGCGTGCAAGAGCCTTCATTCGTACAATGCCAGGATGACCCTCGTGGAGGGAATCTAAGACCCTAGTCCTCATTGAGGTGGGAATGACAACTCTGCTTCCCCAAAGCAGACAACCCTGAGAGGTGGACAACTCGTTCCTTTTAGACCAGAAACTCTGAAACTCAGGACTAGGACAGTGCTCAGGCCATCCAGACAAAACCCAAGAAAGGACACGTGAAAGTGTGTGATCTGTGCCTGATTCAGCGGCTACATCCCTGGCATTCAGGGGGGACTCGGGCAAGGCTTGAATGGAGAGAATATTGATGGCTGGCGCGGGGTCAGCCTCTATTACCGGCAGGGGTAATCTACTGAGGCCATCAGCATGGCCCATTTCCTTCCCAGGCTTGTGAAGTAGGGAAAAATCATATGCAGACAAAAAGATAGACCACCTGAGCATCCTGGGGGAGATGATTTGGGGAGTTTGTTTACGTGTGGTAAACAGTCCCAGCAAAGGCTTATGGTCAGTGAAGACCGTGAATTGCCTACCATATAAAAAATCATGGAATTTTTTAATTCCAGCAACAACAGCTAAGGCCTCCCTGTCTATTTGAGCATAGTTGCGCTCAGCTGAAGACAATGTCCTGGAGTAATATGCAACAGGAACCTGAATTCCATCAGCCCTGAGGTGGCTCAGTACAGCACCCACCCCATAAGGGGAAGCATCACAAGCGATGCACACAGGAAGGGACTCATTGAAGTGAGCAAGTACACTGTTAGAAGTGAGCAAGGCCTTGACCTCATTGAAACTAGCCTCATGTGTTTGTGACCACTGCCACACGGCCTGTTTATCTAATAGCCTGTGAAGAGGCTCAGCTACACTAGCCTTATGTGGAAGAAGGAATTGTAGAAATTCAGAAGGCCCAGAAAAGCCTGTAGTTCGGCCTTAGACTTTGGCCTAGGGGCTTGCATAATGGCTTTTAGTTTGGATTCAGCAGGATGAATCCCAGCAGCATCAATTTTGAATTCCAGAAACTCAGTAGAAGGTACCCCAATTTTACATTTGTCCTTCTTGAGTTTGAGTCCCGTTTTTCTGAACCTTAACAGGACAGCCCTTAGCCTTTCAGCTAGAATGTGTGTGGAGTCTCCTGCAATTAAGACATCATCAAAATAGGGGCAAACCCCTGGTATACCCCGTAGTGTGTTTTCCATTACGCTTTGGAAAATCCCAGGAGCGACATTTACTCCAAATTGAAGTCTCTTTACCTTGAAAGCCCCTCTGTGGGTCACAATAGTCTGAGCTATAGCAGCGTCATCATCAACAGGCAGCTGTTGATATGCTTGAGCTAGGTCAAGCTTTGCAAAAACGCGCCCCCCTTGAGGGAGGCCAGGATATGACTGACCACAGGAACAGGATAGGCATGTTGCTGCAATGCCTTATTTAGAGTGCATTTGTAATCAGCACAGATGCGAATGTCCCCATTTGCCTTAAGAGGCGTAACAATGGGGGTCTCCCATGGACTGGAGTCAACAGGTTCTAGAATTCCTTGTTGGATCAGTTTGTCCAACTCAGTGTCAATTTTACTCTTTAAAGCAAAAGGGACCCTTCTTGCTTTAATTCTAATGGGAGTGAACGTGGGGTCTAGCTTTAACGACACAGGGGGTCCTTTGAATGTGCCCAGCTGGGGGCTGAAAACGTCTGCAAATTCTTTGCAGACTTCCTGTAGGTCGAGTGTTTGTAGGCTGTTGAGCCCTGTGACGTGTATCCCCAAAGCCTCAAACCACTCGAGTCCTATGAGACTCGTTCGTTCACCCTCTACTACTAGTAGGTCTAGTGGACCCTCAAAATCCTTATACTGTATGTTAAGGGTGGCCTCCCCCTTAACACACACTCTGGAATTTTGAAAATCCGTTAGCACAATGTCAGAAGGCCTCAACTTGGCCTGGGTTCCGCTGCCGGAACAAATCTTCCTAAATGTGTAAATAGAAATGATCGAAAGTGCAGACCCCGTGTCTAGTTCCATAGTTAATGGAACCCCTTGCAGCTTCACCTTAAGTGACAGCTTTTTCTTAATGGGCTTGTGTGTGCCTGTCCTGTAGATGCTTCTTTGCGAAGCGCAAAACCCCACCCTATTCTGGCTGGGGATCCTGGTACCTTTCAGGCGCAATTCTTCCTGAGGTTGTACCTTCTGATGGCCCAGGCACACAGCTGCAATGTGTCCTTGTTTTCCGCACGCCCGGCAGATAGCGGAGCAGAACTTGCAGTCGGCTCTCTTGTGGCGACCTCCACAACCGATGCACTTGGGGAGAGCTGAAGAGCTTCCTCTTGGTTTTCCTTCCTTTGTGGGGTGGAGACGGTCCACTTCCTCATCAGGATCCTCCTCGAAGTTTCTTTGGACTTCTTCCTAGTGCACGGATGCAGCATCTGGACTGTTTCTGATCGGCCGCATGTTCTTGATGGCGCCGCCCGCTGCTTCTTCTGCGGTGACCTCTCTCAAGGTATCTTGGAAAGACAAGCCCTCCTTGGCGAAAAGTCTCTGTTGCAACTCTCGATGCCTTAGCCCGCATACAAACTGGTCCCTTAGTCGTTCTTCAAGGTCCTTGAACTCGCAATGCTTGGCGGCTTTCCTCAGTGCGGCGATGTACTCCTTGGCCGATTCTCTGGGTCGTTGATCCCTCTGCTCGAAGGTGTGGCGCCACGCGATGACGGATATCTTAGGATGGAAATGCTCCTTCAGTAACTTCTTTAGATCTGCGTAGCTGACAGACTCTAAAGGAACAGGTGCTATGAGGTTCTCAGCGATTTCGAATGTGTCTTGACCGCAAATGCACAGCAGGGTGGCAGCCTTCAAGCTCTCTTCCCTCACCTGGTTCACTTTGAGGTAGTTTTCCACCCTGGCTACGTAGGACTCCCACCTCTCTGGATGTGAGACGTCGAATTCCGAAAGCCTTCCAATCTTTGCCATTTTCATTTCAGGAAGGATCTATCAGCCAGCCTACCCCCGAACGCACGCTGGATTGGCGGGTAGCTGCCGAGTCAACGCCGTTCCTGCCGCTCCGGACTCACTCGGGTAAGCTTACACCTTCTCTTCTTCGATGTAAGGCAATCCCATCCTCGTCGCCAGTGTTGGGTCTGTCGCGAAATGGTAAGACATGAGAAGCAGTTGTAGTTCTCAGGAAACCTTTATTCTTCAGTTCAGCTTACATTGGAATATGGCGGCGAAAGCCCACAACTCGCAGCCTCCTTTTATAGGACTTTCCAGGGTCAATGTGTTACTTTTCGCGGGCCAGTACTTGCGCATGCGCACAAGCACTGGCAACAGCCTGTCTGGTTCCGGGCAGCTTGTACCTGCCCGGGACCGCCTGCAATGCCCCGAGCCTGCTTGCAAGGCTCAGGACATAACACTAACAATTAATATGATCCAAAGAGATATGAGTTAATAATGTCCAAAGTAGGATTAAAATACAAAAGTAACAATTAATAGCTAGAGAAAAGGGGGGTTGGAGAAAGGGAAAGTTGCTTCTTGCAAGAGCAAGAATATCTCCAATTCTGCTCTCTCACCTCTGCACCCCTTTTTCAGTTTAAATTGTGCATATTTCTCCAACAATCTCCCTGCTTTCTTCAGTGGCACTAATATTTCTAAGGTATTTTTCTTCTTACTTCAGCCTCTGATTCCACCAAACGCATCAACGGGATTTTGTAATTACATTTTTCCCAATATTGAAAAATACTGAAATATTGCAAAAAGGAATAAATCTCTGAGTAAGCATCCAAACAGCCCATCACTTTGCTTTGCTTTTCCTTTGTGAGGTCACGCTTCATAATGGTGGCGACAGGTAGATGAGCTCACAAAGGAGAAGTAAATAAAACTTCTGGTGGGCTGAATGAAAGCTCTTGTGGGTTTTGAGTAGTGGTGGTGTAGTCAGGTTTTGCTTTTATTTCACAGCGTTTTAATAGCTCAGCTTTTGTTTCTTTTTCGGTATTTATTTTCCTGCTTATTTATCTTTGTTTATTTATCACATTTGTTTATTTACATTTATTTATCTATTTATTTATTATTTATCTATTTATTTATCTATTTGTATATTTATCTATTCATTTACCTATTTATTTATCTATTTATTTATTCATTTATTTATCTATTTGCATATTTATCTATTTATTTATCCATTTATTTATCTATTTGCATATTTATTTATCTATTTATTTATCTATATCTATTTATCTAGTTACCTATTTATATATCTATTTATCTACTTATTTATCTATTTATTATATTTAATATATTTAGTTAGTTTAGGATTAGTTTAGTTTAGGGCATTAAGGATGGAGACATTCTTATACTATGCAGGGAAACTCCTGTTTGAGGTAAGGCCCTCTTTTTGTTTATTTATTTATTTACTTGTCAACTGCGTAACTCTAGGATGAGTTCAAGATTCAAAGAGGTAGCATGACATGTAGCATAAATCATCATCATCATCATAATAAAATCCCTCCTTCTAATTAATTTTTAACATCGCTTGCCTCTTTTAAATTTTATATACGATGCTCGTGTTTTTAATATTGCATTTGTATAGTACCTAGACTGAGGGAAATGGGCAGTTCTTAAATATGATAAATAAACAAATAAATAGTGTGTGTTCTAGTCTTCTGCATGCTAAACTGCATTGGCCATTAGTCCTGGTTAACCCTAACCCTAACCCTGTCCCTTGTCCCTTTTTAGCACTGGGAAAGGTTCAGAGTGACATTGATCCCTGTTTCAATTCATCAGGTGTAACGAGGGAGGGGAGAGAGCCCCCCACCCCTTCCTACTGTGTTTGGCTGTGACAGATGGAGACAACTGCTGCAATGCATGGATGTGGTCCCTTTCCCCAAATACCTGTTCCCATGACAATCAACCCACTTGCTTATATCACTGACTGCTCCCTCACTAGACACAACAGTGGAACCTGAACAGTACATGTAGCAATGTCTTCTCTGATTATCAGCCCAGAACTGTGTCGGAGGAAAGATGGAGAGAAGCTGGCACGGGCTGACTGATTTAATAGTATTTTTATACTGATGACTCCATAGCAACTCTTGACAATTTACAAACAGCTGCCTAAAATCCATACAACTAGTAGTCACGAGGCCCAGAGTCACCCTACACTAAACTAGAGATGGGAAGATCCTAGCTTCTGACCATGTTGTCATCAGCACGGTCAATTGTTTGTACAGCCAGGTTTATATGGGAAGAAGAGGGCCATTAAAACATCACTTTAACTGCAGAGCAACTAAAGGGCAGCTTTAGCTGTCCCTGCAGCTGGCTGGAGATGAAAGTCAGGTGATGCCGTGAGGGTTGTTACTTAACAATGGTTAGTGAGGGTCTTCATGCTATGGTTAGAGGGGCATGAGGATGAACTAGCTGATTTGATTCACTCCAACTCTCTAAATAAAATTAGCATACGGGATCCAGTGGAACTTTTGTTCCTGTTAATCCTTTTTCATAAGTGGGAAGTTCTACCATATGTGTATTTTTTTAAAAAACCCAGTTGGTCTTCTGAGTCTAGGATCCCTTCTTTCCAGACTGAGTTGACTTTCTTTGACTCCAAAAGCAAAAGACCATCTGAAGAAAAAGCCTTGGAAGTATAATTTCCCATAAATTCATTTTTTCTTTTCTATTTTTTTCAAAAAAGAAAAAAATCTGAAGCACGACATTGGCCAAGCATTGATATGTGCTACTGTGATTGTATCCACACTATGATTTATAATACTTAGTAAATTCGCCTCCTCCAGTTGATTTGTCCTGAGCTGTTCAAAATGTCTTCTTTTGGCAGGTCTGTCTGCAGAAATACAGAGACCACCAAAGAAAACAAAGTGAGTAACCAACTCTTTTGTTTGTGTGGAACCTGTGGCAGGAGTGGGGATACAAAGGCAACCCTCCCTCTGCACCACCCCTGACCCTTCTTATTTGATGACCAGTCTTCAATGTTAGTCTTGTTGGTGGGTTAATACGTAATGTCTTTTGGGAATATTGTTTAACAACACAAGTGTTTTCCCATAAAAATACAGAAAAGAAGCAGACAGAAGAGGTGACATCCTCACAGGAGAAGGAGCTGGCAGAAAAAGATGCCACCATAAGAGCTGTAAGTCATTCATTTCCCTTACAATCCTGATTTAAGCCCCCTCTTTTTGTCTACGTATCTATATTCGATGACTGATGCATGCGTCCTTTAATTTCTGCATCTTAGTTGGAAGAGGAGAACAAGACCTTAGCCAGCGAACTGGCCCATCTTCTGGAGCGGAATGAGGAACTGAAGCACTTTACAAATCTTGATCCAGAAAGTGAGTCTTATTTTAACTTAAGAACATTTTAATTGTTTTCATTTTAAAAACAAAAGCGATTTATTCATCTTGGCTGTACGAGTTCTAATTTTTTGTTACTTTTTTTTGCCAGGAGAGGCTGAGAGAAAAGAGTTGGAGGTTGCAATATTGAAGAAAAAATTGGAAAGGGAGCAGAAGGCAATCAGCCGACTCACCGCTGTAAGTATGTTCCATGATAGTAAGAAATTAGAACAACCTCTGTAAGCCAGATTTTATAATGTACTAACTGTACTTGCTCAATTTCTTTTAACAGGAGGTCTCAAGAGAGAGGGAGAGGAGAAGAGACCTCATGAGAGCCCGGGACCAGGCAATCGATGCCATCTGCTCCCAGTTGCTATCTATACCTTACTCTGAGAGAAGATTGTCGGTGAGTTTTGTCCTTCTGCTTCTGGGAGAGAAATAGACATGTTTCAATTGATGATTCTCTACCCCATTCTAAAATATTTAACAATTTTCAGCCTCTGCAAGAAGCAAATAGAAAAAAATATCTCAATGCGTCAAGAAGGTAAATGATTCCATTTTTAAGACATTATATGTTTTTTTTCCATAGAAAAGTTATCATACAACATTTGGTAGTAAAAATCAAATCTATTTTGCAACACAATTTTTATTCTTTTACAGTAGCTCGGGGTCAAGTTATGACAGTTGACTCTATTGTGGTCAAGAACATGTGGGTTCCCAACCACAGATTGTAGTAGAGATGGAGTAAGTGATTTGATATGTTTATGTTTCATTCTGCTCATAGTCAATATTTTCGGGGAAATGCGATAGGACTCGGGCAAAAAAAAAAGAATTTTTTTGTTTGAATTTTTCCATGAATTGTCCTGAAATTTTCACATTGAAATTAGGCTATAAAATTCAGCCACGAAACAGGAGATTTGAGACAGAATGCCCTCTCTTATGCCATTAGAAATAGAGCTTAGATGGCTTTTCCTGACGTGCTGGGTTGCATTGTTCCAAAGGCAAATGTAATTTAAAAATTTGCTAATATTCTACCTGCTAATTTTTGCTGAGAAGTTATTCATCAGATAAATTATTGTCTCTTTCAACTGGCTCGTTTGGATTAGACAAAAATGCTATTTGATGTGTAATTTAATGTGTTAGTTATTTTTTTTATTGAAATTCTAATCTCTGTTTCAAAATAAGATCTGGTTTTTCTTCAAATACAGGATTGCACTAACATGATTTCCATTCTAACCGACTTGTTTTTAATCTGTTTCAGTGAATTCAAAGACACCTGTACCTCTTTTGGGACTCCCTCTTCTCCCGTCTTAACTCAACCAGGAACAACCAGGACCAGCTGTGGCTCAGAGATGTAGTCAAGTGACATACATCACTTTTTACACCTCTTCCTTTAACCAAGACAATGGCAATTGGTCCCAATTTGGTCCCAACTGAAGTCGTAACATGATGACTACCTGTATTATGAAAATTCTCCTTCACCACCAAATACGCTCCTGAAGAAATTGCTTTTGGCGTCCATTTCTTGTCTGGGGTCAAAGTCAGGAAAATGCTTCCAGAAATTTGAATGTCACGCAGGATGACCGTGCCCTGAAAGTTTCTGCCCTGAGTACCTGGGATGTTAAGAAAGAACACCTCAAGAGCGCCCAGGGGAAAGACATCAAGCGTGCTTTGGTCAATGGCCTTGCCAGCCAAGTTGATACCTTCCATTTGCCCAAATGTCCACCCATCCATTGATGATGAAGTAAAAGATGATTAGGGATCTGGAGGCTAAGTCTTACGACGATTGAACTAGGCGTGTCTAGCCTAACCAAGCAAAGGATTAGGAGTGTCATGATAGCTGTCTGCCAATAGTTGAGGGGCTGCCAGAGAGAAAAAGGGGATGGCCTATTCTCCAAAGCATCTGGAACAGGATAAGAAGTAACCGACAGAAAATCATCATGGAGGGATCCAACCTAGAATGATGGAGAAATTTCCTGATAGTGAGAACAATGAATCAGTGGAAAGGCTTGCCTCGGGCTAATTGGAGAATGTGATTAATGACTGCTTCATGGGAGTGGGAATTGCAATTTGTTACGTTGTATCTGGGGGAAGGGAATCTGGTTTCGGGTTGAACTATGTAGTGCCAATACTTTGTTTCCTGAACAAAATGTTCTTTAAGGAAGAATTCTTGCCTTGAAGTTCTTTTGCTGGGTTTCATCTATCGGAATCATGAGAGGATATGCAAATACAACTCAACAGAACGTTCTCACTTACAAGTGCACCTCAGCTGAGAAAGGAAGCTCTATATTGCTTTCCATGGCTTTCCAAATGGACATCGATTCGTTAATCTGTTCAGATGGAAGAGTACAGCGCTGTCTCCCAAATTTCAATCGGTGACCTTTTAATCACGATGCAGAGAAACAACAGGCTATACAAAGTGAATGAATGGATGAATGGATGAATAAACTGGGTCCAAGCAATTTCTTCAGGCTTGTAAGCCATTTTGCACATTGGTAAAATCGGGCAGGAGCACGTGACCTGTTTAACAAATGGCATAACGCTGCAACTCTAGAATCGGTTACAGTCATAAATCGAGGACTACCTGTATTATAATGAATGTCAACGTAATGCAGAACATAATTTTTATAGCCTTATTTTCTGTATTTGTTTTCTTGTACAAAACATTCCATCTCCATTATTGATCATGAAGTAAAATACATTTTAAAATAAAATATATTATATTTAATGGAGAAATATATTCAAACAGCTATCTTTGAAAGAGCAGGAGAGGTAATCTAATGCTTAATTCGTTTTTATTCAATGGCCTGCAAAGGCGGGCACTTACAGGCACTACATGATTTATAGCACATACTACAGACTCATGAACCCTACATAAGAAGACAAACCTACATCACCTTTATAAAATCTAATTTAACCCTGACTTATTTAAATTCTCTCTCTCCCTCTCTCCTTCCCTCCCTCCCTCCCTCTGCCAGGATCTAATTTAAGAGGGATATGGCTAATATGTTCATTTATTCTTCACTTTTGTGTCATTTGGAATGCCTGACCTTAACTGTGTTAAGTATTCTCTCTTATGAGAAACAACGTTAATGCCAGAAGACCGAACAAAGAAGCTATCTCAGGCATTTCGGGGTCAGCCAAAAATACACTGCAATAAATACGATTTCCATATTTTTTGAGAAAGGACCTTTCCATGCAATAAAAGATAAGAATTGAAACAAAATGAAAACTGAATGAGGCGGAGGGACTTTCTCTCAGGCTCACACCAGGCCCTCCCAAAGTGGCACGCTGCTCTTTGGTCCCCACATGAATTGGCAGAGCCAGGTCTTCATGCTCTTTGGAAGGCCGGGAGAGTGAGGGCCAACCTCACCTCTGGAGGCAAGATGATCCAGGAGGTGGGGGGCAATGGCAGAGAATGCTCTCTTCTTAGATCCCACCAGTAGAAATTCTTTAACTGACAGGGTCTGTAACATACCCTTTCCACCTAACTGGATGGGACGGGCTGGGACAAGGCGCTTACTTAAGTAAACTGATCCCGTGCCATGAAGGATTTTAAAGGTGATAACCAACACATTGAATTGGACCGGAAAACAAACTGGCACCCAATGCAACAAGAGATATTAAAAACAGTTACAAAAATAATTTTAAAAACCCGAGAAATATATTACACAATCTTAACCCAAATTTTATTCTGAATAATTTATTTTTAAATCATGTTACAAAATGCTTATAAAGAGAATTCTTTATCAGAAACACCAATAGGAGCATGCTTCATCCAGCCTGGGGAGAGATTAAAAAGGTGGCCCCAGGGAAAAGTACGGGTTGAACTTCTGGAGCAGGTGATAAAACATTGGTTGATGCAGGTTCATTGGTCTAACGGGCCATCATTATCCACCACAAGATTTATAGGCATAAGATAATAAAAAACTGTTCAAAATGTCTTCTTTTGGCAGGTCTGTCTGTACAAATACAGAGACCACCAAAAAGAACAAAGTGAGTAACCAACTCTTTTGTTCATGTGAGAACCTGTGGCAGGAGTGGAGATACAAAGGCAACCCTCCCTCTGCACCACACCTGACCCTTCCTATTTAATGACCAGTCTTAAATTCCAGTCTTATTTGTGGGTTAATATGTAATGTCTTTTGGGAATATTGTTTAACAACATAAGTGTTTTTCCATAAAAATACAGAACAGAAGCAGATAGAAGAGGTGACATCCTCATAGGAGAAGGAGCTGGCAGAAAAAGATGCCACCATAAGAGCTGTAAGTCATTCATTTCTCTTACAATCCTGATTTAAGCCCCCTCTTTTTGTCTGCATATCTATATTCGATGACTGATGCATGCTTCCTTTAATTTCTGCATCTTAGTTGGAAGAGGAGAACAAGACCTTAGCCAGCGAACTGGCCCATCTTCTGGAGCGGAATGAGGAACTGAAGCACTTTACAAATCTTGATCCAGAAAGTGAGTCTTATTTTAACTTAAGAACATTTTAATTGTTTTCATTTTAAAAACAAAAGCGATTTATTCATCTTGGCTATACGAGTTCTAATTTTTTGTTACTTTTTTTGCCAGGAGAGGCTGACAGAAAAGAGTTGGAGGTTGCAATATTGAAGAACAAATTGGAAAGGGAGCAGAAGGCAATCAGCCGACTCACCGCTGTAAATATCTTACAAGATAGTAAGAAATTAAAACAACCTCTGTAAGCCAGATTTTATAATGTACTAACTGTACTTGCTCCATTTTTTTTAACAGGAGGTCTCAAGAGAGAGGGAGAGGAGAAGAGACCTCATCAGAGCTCGGGACCGGGCAATCGATGCCATCTGCTCCCAGCTGCTGTCTATACCCTACTCAGAGAGAAGATTGTCAGTGAGTTTGTCATTCTGCTTCTGGGAGAGAAATAGACATTTTTCAATTGATGACTCTCTACCCCATTCTAAAATATTTGTTTAACAATTTTCAGCCTCTGTAAGAAGCAAATAGAAAGAAATATCTGAAGGCGTCAAGAAGGTAAATGGTTCCATTTTTAAGACATTACATGTGTTTTTCCATAGAAAAGTTATCATACAACATTTGGTAGTAAAAATCAAATCAATTTTGCAACACAATTTTTATTCTTTTACAGTAGCTCGGGGTCAAGTTATAACAGATGATTTTATCGCAGTCAAGAACATGTGGGTTCCCAACCACAGATTGTAGTAGAGATGGAGTAAGTGATTTGATATGTTTCTGTTTCATTCTGAATATGGTCAATATTTTTGGGGAAATACAGTAGGAGTCATGCAAAAAAAATTTTTTTTTAATTTTTTCATGAATTGTTCTGAAATTTTCACATTCAAACTAGGCTACAACATTCAGCCATGAAATAGGAGATTTTAGACAGAATGCCCTCTCTTATGCCATTACAAATAGAGTTTAGATGGGTTTTCCTGACATGCTTTGCTCAATTGTTCCAAAGGCAAATGTAATTTAAAAAATTGTTAATATTCTACCTGCTAATTTTTGCTGAGAAGTTATTGTCTCTTTCAACTGGCTAGTTTGGATTAGACAAAAATGATGTTTGATGTGTAATTTAATGTGTTAGTTATTTTTTTATTAAAATTCTATCTGTGTTTCAAAGTAAGATTTGGTTTTTCTTCAAATACAATCTTCAAACACAGAATTATACTAACATGACTTCCATTCTAACCTACTTGATTTTAATCTGTTTCAGTGAATTCAAAGACACCTGTATCTCTTTTTGGGACTCCCTCTTTTCCCGTCTTAACCCAACCAGGAACAACCAGGACCAGCTGTGGCTCAGAGATGCAGTCAAGTGACATACATCACTTTTTATACCTCTTCCCTTTAACCAAGACAATGGCAATTGGTCCCAATTTGGTCCCAACTGAAGTCGTAACATGATGACTACCTGTATTATGAAAATTCTCCTTAGCCACCAAATACACTCCTGAAGAAATTCTTGTCTGAGTGTCAAAGTCAGTAAAATTCTTCCAGAAATTTGAATGTCACGCAGGATGGTCGTGACCTACAAGCTTCTGCCTCAACACCTGGGATGTTAAGAAAGAAAACCTCAACAGCAAGGTGTGCAATGATAAAAGAAGATAACTACATAAAATTATTTAACCAAATAACATTAGATCTGAAGAAATGGAAAAACTTACAACTTTTAGTTTTAGGAAGAATAGCTACTGTGAAAATGAATATACTACCAAAACTGCTTTTCTTGTTCCAAACTGTATCTATAAAAATAGAGAAGAATTTTTTGATGACTTGAATACATTGATTTCGAAATTTATTTGGCAAGGAGACAAAGCCAAAATTAAACTGAAAATGCTACAAGAATCCAAAGAAAATGGAGGAGTTGGATTACCAGACTGTGTATTATACTATCAAGCATGTATCTTAACTTGGCTGAAAGAATGTATAATTCTCAGACATAAAAGACTGTTATCTCTAGAAGGACATGATCTGCAACTGGGATGGCATGCATTTCTATGGTATGAGAAGAATAAAACTCATAGATACTTTCAAAACTACTACGCAAGAAATTCACTACTTTTTGTGTGGAAAAAAAATAAAAGCTAAAATTTACTTGAAAATCCCAGGATGGCTTTCAACGATGGAAGCATTTGTTCACCTGAACTTGGTGCAATATGAAAAAAATGACATATAAGGATATTTTGGATACTGAAGGGAAACTAAAATCTAAATGAGCTTTTAAACCAGGGTATTGAACTATCACAGTGGCCAAATTTATGATAAAAATGTGAAAATATATGGCTTTTATAAAGAACAGACAATGTTTGATCAGATATTGTTAACCTCTGATGAAAAACTGATTAAGAAACTATATAACTTTCTATTAAATTTGAAAATGGAGGATGAACAAGTGAACGATACAATGATACAATGGGCAAAAAACTTTGGATATAATATAGAATTAGAGAAATGGCAAATATTTGGGAAAGAAATTA